CTTCTTCCCTACTGACTTTGAGGTGGTTTCTCAGTGTTTGCCTTTCCCGCCTTGCATAGTCCCCTCACGTGGCCATGTCCTGTCTCTCCTGGAGCCTGCGGGGCCCCTCGGCCTCTTCTTTGGCTGGATCCCACTGGGATTTGAAAACCATGGCTTCCTCTTCCACACGTCCTCTCCCACCTGGTCTTTGTTGTTGTGAGTCCGATCCTTTTGACTTAGCCATCACTGGCGAAGGAGGAAACAGGTGTGGATGCCCAGCCCACCACTTTGAAATGATAACCAACACCTTTTTAAAGAAAAGGATGAGGCGCTAATTCTAGTCATTGTCCTGGTGTCAGATGAAATCCCACTTCACATTTCCCAGCCTCTCTGGAACAGCAGGGGTGACACCCCACCCAGCCTGGCTTCCTTGCATGTGCACTTTGCTTGTCATTTTTTTTGTTTAAAACGCTTCTTTGTATCACCTTCTCAGTCCCTCCCTTTTACTTGCTGTCTGTAGGGACAGCTGCTCGTAGGACTTTCTGGTTTTTTTCTTTTCTCTGTGTCTCCCTATAGGGTCAGAAAAGAGGCAATTGTTTTCTTGTCCATCCTAAATGGTCATGACCTGCAGCCTGTAATAAAGATTAGCAAGAGAAAGCATAACACATCTGCTAATCTGCACTTGAGCCGTAAATATATGAAACTAAAAGCACCTGATGGTTGCATAGTGTTCACGGGGAGAGAAATGTGTGTGTGTGTGTGCATGTGTGTTGGGGGCACAGGCAATTTAGAAGTGTGTAAATGAATTTTGGAGAAAATGAATGAACCTATGGAACGCACAGTGGTGGAGACAAAGTTTCTAGGGTTGTTTGTCAGCCTCTTTCTGTGATGCGAGTTTAGTCTTTCGTGGTTGATGAAATTTCAGTAGGAAGATTTGAAGGCAGTTGTGTTCCACTTTGGCAGATCCAGTCTCTACATAAGGGGACTCTGGAGAAAATCTCGTCCTGCTCTTTGGAAGAGACAGGACCACATAGGATTAAGACGGCAGTGATGTGGGGGTGCTGAATGAGGACGGAGGAAGATCAGAGACACCTTGGTTCTGAGACTTTCTCCAGCTCAGTATCTCGGAGCATCCCATGCTGGGGTAATGTTTTTCTGAGCCCCAGCTTTTTTCCTGGTTCCTGGTTGCTCTCCCCCATTGTCTCATGGACCCTTTCCTATGGTTTCCCAGACTCTTGGTGACTCACTCTTTGCTTGCTCCTTGTCTCATATGCTGTTGGCCTGTCCCCCTGTCCCGTGCCTGGGTCCCTCGTCCCTCACCCTCTCCTCTCCTCCCATCTGCCTGTCTTCCTGCCTATAACCAACTGTGTCTGTTGTTTTCTGCCTTTTGTCTGTCTGTGTTGCTGTCTGTTTCTGTCACTGTCCATTTGTCCCTCTTTGTTGTCAGTCCTGTGGTCTCTGCCCCTCTGCCCATTTCTCTCCTGTCTGCTACTCTCTTAACAAGGCCTCAGCGGTTTCCCCTCGGTGTATCTTTCCCCATTTTCCTCTCCAGGAAATATTCCTTTCTCCGTTTGCTCACCAACATGTGTTGGTCAAAGTTGTCTGCTCAGCTCTACAGACCGCTCAGCCTTAATGTCTTAGTTTTTTTCTGAGAGAGAATCAAATTGGTGAAGCCCCAAGCATGGGTTTTGGTTAATAGTCTGACCGTGTGACTGGTAGGCTGGGGTGCAGAGATATCAGATGTGTAGCGTGGGGCAGATGAAGCTTGAGTAGGGTGGGCACAGGTGTGTCCCATGCACTCCCTCCAGGTCTGGGACGCAGTGAGATGCAAATATTTGTTGTGTTAAACTGAGCTGCCTCAAGATTCCTTCCATCCCCTATAACGAGATGCCTTATCCTGCCTAAGAATGTTTTAAAAAAACAGAGGAGGCAACTGTAAAACTAACTTTAGGAAAATTTTTTTATAGTACTAGTTAATATTTAATAATGCTTAATGTGAATCACTTAAAAATTCTGTCAGTGAATTTTTTCCGTGTTCCTCAATGATGGTATAAGACTTTATGTTCAATGTTTCATATATATAGCAACTATAAAAATGAGAGTAAGACATCTGATGGATTAAATTACTGAACCCATTTATAACTGACCACATAAACCAATCCCTCTTAGCAGTAGTTTATACACTGGCCTCTTATTTACTGAGTAAAATATTTGGTAATAAGTCTGTACTTCTAACACATTTTCATTCTCTTCCATGCTGCTTCTGAAGATGATTCATCTGTTTTTATTGTTTTAAAATCCTTAATTTGATGCTCAGTGAAGATGAAGGTCATGCTTTTGAAATCATGTACTTAGGAGTAATGCCCCAGTAAATAAAGTGAGTTTGCTTTGGAAATTGAAATCTCTCTCTGAATTGTAATTTATTGGCTTAATAAAAATGTATTTCTGTAGGATATTAAAATTACAGACAAAGCAAATAACTATTGAATCTCTTGGGAGTTCAATTTGTTTTGTGCAAAGATTGGACCCTTGACAATTTACAAGTCATTGTTATGCAGTTTTGTTGTTGGAAAACAGGAGAGGCTCAAAACAACTTTTGCTGATATTACAATTTGAGATGATTCATTTAGGGATATCATATAGATTTAACTCCATTTTCTCCTTCTGTCCTTTCTCTTCTCCCAAATATTACCACATTTTGATCTCTTTTTTTTTGTTTAAAGTAATTTCTGGTACAGATTTTGTTTAGGTTTGTGTAAATCAAACTATTATTTCCTAGTCTTTGTCTAAAAGTTTTGTTCTCTTCATTTATCTCAATTATTATTATTTTTTTACTTCATTATTCTAAAAGAAAGGTAAATCTATTTTTACTTAAACTTTATTTTGGAAAAAGTGCTGTATTTTTGGAATCTATAATATTACAAAACATCAGGAAGATGTGTTCTCTTCTAAGAAAAATACCTCGAGTATTTTTCTGTGAAATACTCCGCAGCCCTCTAGCAGCCAGTGTTGGCAGGGAACAATACCCTTGTATGAGCTGCTGGCGGAATGTGGGCTTTATCTGTGTAATTGCCCAAACTGAGTCACTCTTCTAAGTCAGTGCTCTAGTTAGTTTCTCCTTTGTTATTTGTGGTAATTATAATGAAAAGCAATTTTCTAATAATTTCTTTTTAGAATATCTCCATGTTATGCTTTATGCGCAGATGGTAGTAAGTTTGGAATGAGTTTGACACTTCTGACTACTGCAGGGTGGTTTGGCTCATGCTCGTCAACTGAAGAAACTTCAGAATGGGGGAAGGGAATCTTTCCAATTTTTAGAAAATGTTTGTTTTATTCTGTGAACTGGGGGGGGGACTGTGTAGGCTGAGAAGTGTTTAATTTAGAAAGCCGTATGTTTAATTGCATGTACTCTTGGAGCTACTGACCCTCAGGTAGTAAAAGGGCGTCAGATCAGGAGGCTGTAGAATCTGGCTAATTTGCATCAAAGAACTGGAGACAAGGGCACTTCTACGTGAGTGGCAGTGAATGGATCAAGGGAAGGCAGCCAGGTTGAGCCTGCACATTTGTGCTGAACTAGGTAGGAGGGTCTCAGTCAAATATAAATCTGGAAGCAGGAGTGGTGCTGCAGAATAGACTGTTGGCTGATTGGAAGTTACACATTCTACTTGCAAAGATAGGAGCCTGCCTTCAGCGTCCGTGGATTCCAAATACAGTAAAACAACAATTACATTATAGTAGGCTTTACAAATAATCTGGAGATGATTTAAGTACACAGAAGGGTAGGTGAGGAGTGTATACAAGTACACTACGCCATTATGAGGGACTCAAGCAGCTGTGCACTTTAGTATCTTGGCCGTCACCAAAAGCAGCCACTTGTGATTATAGAGGCAACATTGTATGTGTATGTAGAACATATTTCTTTTTTTCCTGTTTATTTTAAAACTCTTTATTGGTACACGTTTGCAGTACATCATGATTACATTTATCATGGGGAGTTGGTACATGTATGTAACATATTTTAATTCTTTTTACTTCCCCTTTGTTATAAATGACATGTGAGAGGCCACTTGGACACAGACTTTGTGTGAGAAAAAGCTTTATTCCTGTCTGGGTGTGAACAAGGACTGAAACAGCTAGCTAGGAAGAGCCAAATTTATTTCACCTGTGCTCTCTCTCTCTCTCTCACACACACACGCACGCACACACAGAGTGAGAGCAAGCGAGAGAAGCAGTTAGCTGGGAGAGAAATTAAGTTTATATAGGATCTGGGAAGGGGCTGTGCTCATAAGGAATGTTTGCGACTGAAGGTCCCAGAATGGTCAGCACAGCCGAGAAGTCACTGGACCTCTCCGTGCTGGGGAGATTACACACTCCATCCTGAAGTCTTTAAGACCATCTGTCCTGTGTACTGAGAGCAGCCTGTTGTTTGCGGAGAACGGCATGTTTGCTGTGGAGGTCTCATCCAGGCCAGGTGTGACTCTTCTCCCCCTCCTCCCCCAACCCCTTCCATCTCTTGATCCTCTTCCCATTTGCAAAAGACATCATCCTGTTTCCTATTATCTATTATTTTGCATTTTAAATCACACATTTCTTGACTTTATTGATTCCCGACTGGCATTTTTAGTATATACAGATGGACCCACCTATTTGTGATTGATTTCCTTTGTAGAATCCTTTGGCAGTATTGTACATTTTGGCATTACTATTGAACATCACACCATTTCCCGAATCCAAATAGTTGCTCTGAGCAAAAACTTGGTGTAACACAGCTCATCCAAAATACGAATACAAAATTTAAAAGATATTCCTACTTGTTTTCTTCATTATCGGTAATTGATCAGGGCCTAAGGAATGTTGGTCAAGTAGTCTATCACTGAGCTTTATCCCCAAGATGTTAAGTTGCCCACACTGGTCTCAAATTTGCAATCCTCCTGCCTCAGCCTCCAGAGTAGCTGGGATTACAGGCATGCCCATGCCCCACTGTGTCCAACTTATTTCTGATATTTTTGAAGTAACTCAGGATGTACAGAGTCAAGCACCCGGAAGGTGAAATTTCAGGGAATGACAGGTTGATTATGCTGTGTGGATAGATGGCTTGCAGGCTGCACAGGCATCATCTGATTCGTTCTTTGGTATGAACCTGGTTATCTAGGCAGCTAGATTTGTTGCTGCCATAGGCATGGAGTTCTACTTCTGCATCCCTCCCCCAGCCTCAGTTCCACAGAGCTGAAGAGATTTACAGCAGCTCACTAGGGACCACATTGCTCCCCGAACCCAGCTTTGTTTCAGTTATTCTTGCAAATGGTGCTCTAGGAACCCTAGAGATTGCTAGGGAAAGGAAAGGCAGGTTAATAGAGTGTCAGTTACCCCTTATTTTTCTATTGGCTTTCATTATTGACTATTGATTCTCCACGGAACCCCAGGATCTGTTTTTCACGAGGTGGTCTCTGCTTGTAGAGTCTCCACGTGGCTTCTCCAGGAGCACAGCTGAGGGCTTAGAATGCAAAGCAGAAGCCAGTGGCTACTGCTTGGGGCTGGGAGGGGCGCCACATCACCCTCTGCAGCTGAAGCAAATCACGGACACCCAGATTTAAGGGGAGAAGATTGCACAGAGCTTGACTGTGAGGAGGCAGGGCTTCCTGGGGCTGCAGTGCCGTCTCGACTACTTGTAGTGCTGCTTTGACTACACCCACTATCACAGAGACAGGTAAGGTGCTGGTGTCTTCTAAAGGCATGTTTAGAAAATAACAAAGCAAGTGAAAAAGATTTTCACAGAGCAGGCAGAGTCTGGAAGGCGCTGCATTGCTGGGAATGGCTGCTGTTCTCATTAGGGGAGCTCTGGTCTCCCCCTTGAGCGTCACTTCCGGGCTCCGGTGCAGATCCCTCAGCCTGGTGGCACAGGTCCTTCACCCTGCCGGTGTAGACTTTCTCGTTTCCACCACTGGCCTTGGGCCTTCCCGGCACAGATCCTCTACAGGGACTTGCGCGAGGCCCTGCCGTGGGCTCCAGGCCTCTGGTTGGACTCACGGAGGACACTGCCTTGGACTCCAGGCCTGCAGCTGGACTTGTTTGGGACAGTGCCATGGGGTCCAGGCCTTTGGCTGGATTCTTTGGGTCTCTAGTATGTGCACAGATCTCTTGTGCTCCTTTGCACTGACTTTTTGGGTGACTGTTATAAAATAACCCTATAAATTATGTGTCCTGCATGAAATTTGTTCCCTTGCAAACCGATACCCTGTACTCCCCCCTTCTTTGCTTCTCTGAGGTCTTTCCTAGAATGGGCAAATGCAAGGCAAGATCAGTAAAACTAATTTGTATCTTTTGGCCACAGGTCTTACAAGGCTAAGATACTGTACAGTGCCTAGAAGAAATTACTTTTGGGTTTTCTTTTGCGCTTGCTATAGTGCCACTGGAATGAAACAATGGACTAGGCCTTAACTATGTTTCATAGGAATCCAGTGAGTTTCTGCAGGATTCGTGGGCTGGCTGGTTGGTTTAGCATGCCCCCTTTTCTACCTTGTTCTGGGAGTGTAGTGAACTCGGCACTGGCGTTCAGAATGTTTGGTTCTAAAGCACTGACCTTTTGTATTCCTCATACGGCTCTCTTTCTGTTCCAGACTATTTGAAAGGAATGTGGAAATTCCTGGGTTGGGTGACATTACTGTGACACTGTTGAATCTCACATGCTCTTTTTTGTTCTTTTAACAGATACGAATTTTGTGTTGGGGAATGCCCAGATAGTGGACTGGCCCGTTGTGTATAGCAATGATGGATTTTGCAAGCTGTCTGGCTACCACAGGGCAGAAGTGATGCAGAAAAGCAGCACCTGCAGGTATTTACGTCTGGAGTTGTCCGGTGAAGTTTATCCTAGTGTCTTTGGAAAAATAAAATGGCTTATTGTATTTGGGAACTGCCTGTATCTCGTTCAATATTTTTTCAGGAAATTTTATTGCAGTGTCTTTACGAGTTTGTACATGTCCCTCCAACTGGCACATCTGTGGTCAGTAAGATGAGGGAGGGAACGCAGAACAACTCGGGAAACTATTTAATCCGTAAACGTGAACTCAAAAGTTTTTAAGGCTTTAGACTGAATTATATGTGAAAGTTAAAGAATAAAATAAAATGAAAATTTAGATGGTTAATTTAGAAATGATTAGCATTATAGAGAAGAGTAGCCATCATGCTAGAGACGAGGGCCTTGATAGTTTTTCCTCAGCTGAAAAGAGAAGAGAACCAGGATTTTCTAGCTGTGGAGTTGTGCCCTTACCTTTGTGTCCCCATCGGTCTTACCTCTTAGCAAACTGCTGACAGCATAGCCTGTGAGCTCGACAGGTTGTTCATCGAGCAGTACCCTTGGGCTGGGCGTTAGAGAAGTTCTCTGAAAGCATCTTTGAGCATCTTCGAGGTGGCGAGCTGAGCATGCAGCCGGAACCTGCCGTGCATCCCTCTGCAGGGCCCTGGCTCAGCACAGCCTTTGGCTCCTCTCACCTTCTCTTCCCCAGTCTTTTTATTTCCAGTGTTTCGCAAGAAGGGAAATTATTTTTCCCTATCCGCCAAATCAGAAAATGTCCTCCATAAAGGGTGGAGAAGCTTATCTAGCCAGGCATATTCTATTTTCAATTTTAGTATATGTGCTGCCGAAGTGAGCACACATTCCATTTTCAGAAGTAACAGTCTCATTATTAAATCAGCCAAATATTTCTAGTTGTTGAAATGTTCAGAAAATATCTTAATATTCTTAAATTTTATATCCTTAAGACTGAGAAATGGAAAATTGAAGATTTTTTCCTAACTGCTCAAAGGTTTAACACAATAGAATTCTTATTTTGTTTGTGCTGTTTTCCTCTTAAGAGCCTGTATATCTGTCTATTTCTACCTATGTCTCTATCTGTGCTACCCACGTACTGCTCTGCTCACTGTATTCTCTATTGCTCAGGAGCCTCTTATTCACCCTGCATTTTGGACATTGCCATCTCCTAGTAAACTTGTCTCATGGAGCCCAGTGAGCGCTGGGTGCGGTTATGAAGACCCGGCTTTGAGGGGTCTGTGTTACCTGGCGTAGGTACTGCCACTTCATTACATGGTGGTGGCTTATCCAGAAAATTAACGTGGAGAAAGGAGGTAGCCTCTTGTCCTTAGGCAGGAATAATTTTGTCTTGATCTATTCTTGCTTTAAAGGTATTTCAGCAAGCTCAGTTTTCTGTTTTCCTGGTACACAGGTAAAGAGTGTGACCAACAGCTGGTCCTGTATGACATACGCACAAGGCTACCAGCAGGCAATCATTTCTTGCTTGGCTGGGGAGGCGAACAGAATTAAAAGTGCCACTGAGGTCATCAAATCAACAGCTAGAGTCTTTTCTCGAAGTGTCAGAGTTTGGCAGCCTATAGTAAGCCTGAGATGGTTCCAGCTAAGCAGAGTGCTTAACTTGGTGGCTCAACTTTAGATCAGGAATTGCACTTGATGATCTCAGAGGTTCTTTGTAGTTCCGAAATTCTGATTCTGTTGCTCAAGTTATCAAGAAAAAGTCAGATTATATTCAATATGCACTGCCTTAGAAGCTGGGGAGTTACTGTGTGGGGATCCTTGCCACTCCTGTGTGACCTAGGACTGGAGGAGTGGTCTGCTATCCCTTGTTGTTGGTGCCTGAGAGGGGTGGGTAGGAGAGAGCTTGCTGGACCCACAGGCAGCCCTCGGCAGAAAACTGACTGTGCAGCCCCCTTGAGGGACGGCTTTTCTTGTCCGGTACCTGGTTAGTCCAAAGCCATGGCCATTCCATCTAGTTGGGGTTTGTGCTGTTCCTAAAGGGACACACACCTTGGCCTTCAGGATGTATCCATGTGGGGCCCAGGAAAAGGATCCGTCCTGGCAGTTTTCCTGCCTCTGCCGAGAACTGGTGGACAGGTAGAGCTCCAGCGACCCCGCAGTTCTCTCTCGCTCTCTGTCTCATACTCTGATTTCCTCCTTTAGATCATTGTTCCCCAAACATAAGCAGCAGCAGAGGTGTATTAAAAACACGTAGGATTTTATTCTTTGAGAGCTTTTTCAAGATTTGAGCCTCCTACTACATGTGCGCAGTGCACAGTGTTCACAGCCGCATGGAGTCGGTTCACGCAGCACATCCGCGCCCCTCTCTTCACCCTTCCACTTCCCCCTTCTCCCGTCCTCCATCCCCTCTCGGTTCCTTAACACTCAATTCTGTTTCTCTTTGGGGAAGAGGGTAGGCAGAAAAAATTGTTGTGCAGTGGTCGAATCTTCTTTCTTTAGCTATCAGCGTTTAGAGAATCAGATTGCACCTTTTTCTTGTGTGGTCGGTGAATTTTTCTTTGTTTCATTCATTTTGCTAGGAATTGGAAAAAGAAAAAAATCTGTTTCAGATCGACTCGGCCGGTTTTACTGGAGATCTGAGTTGTATTTCTAAAATAAAATAGGATTGTTTCTTCTTTGCTTAAAAGCCTCCCATGGCATCCAGCTACTTTTGGAATAAAGTTTAAATTACTTGGTATGGCTTATAATGCCAGAGTCCCCTCCGTGTCCTGGCCTCTGTGTCACCAGTGTCTGAGTCCCAGGCCTTGAAAGTGCTGCATTCAGGTCTGGAATTGACTGCTTTTCTTAGTGCCTTTGCACCTGTTCATCTTGTGTTTAGAAAGTTCTCATTCCCTATTTTCTTAACTAATTCTTCACACTGTGTGGATCTCCCTTGTCCTTCTGGGAATCCTTCTCTGACCCAGCAGAGGCTCATCTGAGTCTGTTGTCTGCTCCCAACGTGATCCTGCTCATACTGCTCCTGGGTCGACTGTTTTCTAGCGCAAATCACTCATTAGACTATTGGGTGGGGTGGAGGGCAATGTTGGTGTCTTATTTACAGTAATTTAAATTAGTATATATTTTAAAATTCAGTATTTTTGTTTTGTGTGCATGTGTGTCCCACACTGCTGTGTATAGAGCAGATAATTAATAATGTGCTTATCGAGTAATCAGTACTAGCTAATCTAAGTTGAGCTCTTTGGTTGATTTGCAGTTTTATGTATGGGGAGCTGACCGATAAAGACACAATTGAAAAGGTGCGGCAAACTTTTGAGAACTATGAGATGAATTCCTTTGAAATTCTGATGTACAAGAAGAACAGTGAGTATTTAGACCGTTCTGAACCATACCTTTTTGAGTTTGAAGTAAGTAGTATCTCTCTCCACCTCTGTTACTGTCGAGGTTTTTATTCTCGCCCATAAACTAGGTATAGTTGCTTGAAGCCACTGTGTATATTGGGGTAAATATGTGATTGACCATTCTTCCTCATAGGAATGCTTGACCAAGTGCTTGTTACCGAGACTCCTCTCTGTTACTGCCAACAGTTAGGGTTTCTTCTGTTGGGTTACTTATGGTGAGTCTTGTGTCTTAAAGTGGGGTGGTCAGAAATGTTGTCCAATCCATCTTTGTATTTCTCTTCCACAGTCCTCTACAGTAACTCTGGCAGATGCCCACGTGGGAGTTTCTGAGTAACGTATTCCGATAAGCCAGGAGATAGTGTTATTGGCAATGCATCATCAGTTTGGATTTTTGGTGACATTTACTTCCACAAAGTATGCTAATGATGTTTTTAGGTGCATTGCCGTACATCAGTAGAGAACCAGCTTTTCTTTTCAGAGGGTTACTGCCAGATGGAAATTAGACACTCCACTCAGTGTAGGCAGGAGCACTGGCTGTAGCAGCGTCGCTGAGGTGTTGGATATTGCTCTGTTTTTGTTTTGAAATCACTTGTGTTTATAAAGAATCCTGCTCTTTGTATGCATGGCTGATGGGTAGGCTATTGACTCAGTAACTTTTCCAGAGCATCCTGGGAGGTGCACGGGATCAGTGTTGATTTGGTGGCCTTTGGGTCTGAGTGACAATTGGCTCCAGAAAGCAAAGGGCACATCTTGCTTTTATGTAGCCAGAACTGCAGCCCTGTTTTCTTTTTTAAAATTAATTCTGTTAGTATGTTTTAGATTACATAATATTCATCACAGGGAATTTGTACCTGTACATGTCTTAATTATTTTTCCCACTCCCCTCCCCTCCCTTCAACCTCTTTATCTACAAAAGCTTTGCTTTCATTTTTCCTTCTGTTCTTTTTTTTCTTTTCCTTTCCTTCCTTTCCCCTCCTCCTCCCTACTTTCCCTTCTCATTTGAACATTTTCTTCCCATTTCCCAATATCTGCTATGCATTTTGGTCCTAATTTGCCCTTTTGTTTTCTCACACCCAAGAAACAATGTATTTAAACAAGTGTGTCCAGTTTCTTTTACCTAAGAGTGAAGGCACATCCATTTAGCTAGAAATGCGGTGTTTAAACAAATTTGTCTGATTTACCTCACTTAGTAGCATAGTCTCAAGGTACATCCATTTAGAGATGCTGAGGGGTTTTCAGTGGTATAAGCATAGCATGGGATTTCCTCTTAGATGGCTCAGCTAGAGGGAGATAGGATGGAGCTTAGCTGGACGGGAGATAGAGTTGGACTCGCTCTGGTGACAAGGGGATTGTGGCTTGGTCATCAAGAGAGGCCTTTTCGATGTGGATGTCAAGAGGCAGTGGTGGAGGTGGCAAGAAGGACTTTATAGAGACTGCCTCTTGCCTCAGTTTGCCTGACCCGGGGAAGTAGACCCAGCACTTGCTGTTGGGAACGCTTCTCCCATGTGAGGTGACTCCACGTGAGGCTCTGTGTCCTGGTGGGAGCCAGATGTAGAGGAGCTGCCCCCGAGTGTTTGTTGAGTGGCTTTTGAAAAGAACCTGATAGTTAACAAGAAATAAATGAATGCAAGGAAATCACACAAATCCGACAAGGGTCTAGAAACCGGCTGCTTCTATTCAGACAGGAAACTCTAGTCCATGAGGGAAGAGTCCGCCCCGCTGAAACTTTAGAAGGTAAAATGTCACCATCTCAAAGGATGTTTAATTGTATTCCTTAATTTTAAAATTAGTGCACTGTTATTATGGACAGTACACAAAAAGAAAAAATATCACCCAAAAGACTCAGAAATAATACTTTTTGGTGAGTTTACTGAGTTTTTGTCTGAAATTTTGGCATGTGTAAACTCTTTAAAATCACATATTTAATCTTTTATCACATGATATCCTCATCAAATTTCTCATAAATATGATTCAGAAAGAATTTTCTTAGTGCTTCCTCTGTGGCTGGGCATTTATGAGGCTATAAGTTTTTGTTATAAAAAATACTGAGATGAATGTCACAGGTTTTTTGTTGACATTATGAAACCTTTCCTAGAAATTGAGAATTGTTGTATTGCTTGAGACATTTTGCCAAAGAAGCCTTCCAAGTTCCCAAGCAGAAAATGAGTGTCTGACTCATTGTACCTCACTAGCATTGAATAGTTCACTTTTATCAAATGCTGTCCACATTTAATTTTAACAAGTTTTTTAATGCTAATGAGACTGAAATATTTTTGCCCACTTAAATTTACCCTTTAAAATGTTTGGATTTTTCCCATGTTCTGTTTAATTCTAGTGATTTTTCTTAGCAGTTTTTATAAGCTCTTAATAGATTGATTGGATGTTCTTTCTTCCATTGGCCTGCCTTAATATTTTTAAGGACATTCTTTGGTATTTGCAAAGCTTTTCTATTGGTAAGCATCAGTGCTTGCTCTACTATTTGGGGAGCTGGGAGTAATCAGCAAAAGTGTTCATGGTGTGGAATATGAATATTACATATCTTGAAGGATGGATTGTTTGAAAGGTTTCTAAATGTTAGTCTGAACACCTAGTGTTTTATGGTGCTGTGTATCTTGTAATGTTACTCCTCTTGTGTGATTTTTCTTACAGCAGTGACAGTCATCCATGAACTGACCCAGTACATTTTTACATGAGCACTGTTGTGCTAGTCAGTCATCCATTTCTCGAATGAGGAAGTTGAGAAGCACCTGTCCCGAGTGAGAGCAGCCTATCCTGTGAGGGATCCTCCCCCGTGTAAGACCCGATCTGTGGTGTGGCTGGCAGCTCAGCCTTGTGGAAGAGCCCGGGGCGCCTTTAGAGTGGCTCAGCAGCTCCTGTACTCACGGGAGAATTGCTGGCCGGGTACGTACTGGCCACCCATGGTGGACTCTGCACTGGCCAGACACCCTGAGCCTCAGCTGCACAGACAGATGTGGGAAGCCACTTCTCCCTTCGAGGGCCTTACATTCTACTGCGCAGATGAATCTGGCAGCAGCAGTCATGTCCTGCCTGTTTTCTAGAGGCCTATCTTTCAGATTTTGTGGTAGGAGCTGCTCTGTGCAGTGGATATGGATTCTGAATCCCATTCATATTGAAATATATTTTCTCTACTTAAACTTTTTTCTTTTAACTTCTTTTTGACTAGAGGCTTTAAAATCATAGAATGAAAGCTTTTTATGTCTGTTGGAAAGTTCTTCTTACTTGAATAATAAAACCCATTTTTTTTTCCTTTTTGGTGCCATGGGTTGTGTTAAAATATTTATTAGAACATGAAACCATTTTATTTTTATATGCTCTGAGAAGTTAGCATTCCGATTTATTTTCCACAGTGCTTTGTCAGTTGTGCCCACACTGTTTGTCAGATGATCTCGCTCTTCTGATTTGCAATGCCCTTTTCTCTTATGCTAAATTCTCACACAACCCTGGCTTGTGTCTGTCTTATCATTTTCCAGGAACCCTTTGCAGTTTATTAGCAGTGAATTTGGTTAAGATATTTGCCCATTTGGGCCCCCAGTTTGTGATGGGGTTAATGTCACAAGGAACTGGCCCTGTTGTAATTGCTCAATAAATGACAGTGAGTATTTTCACTGTTTGTTTGGGGACAGTCTACTGACTCTTAATGATGGGACCACCTACCATAGTAATTATCTTTTCCTTCCAAAAACTTCAGACATTTCTTGGCCGTGCTTATACTTTTATTGTTTCTATTTGGATTGAATTTCAATTCATCAAGCTCTGAGAAAAACACAGTGGAACATTTGATTGGAATTGCACTAGATTTATATGTTAAGTAGGGAGGTTGAACATCTTGAGAAATTGCATCTCATCTACAAACAACATATCCCTCTCCTTTTGTTTTGGTTGTGTTTTATGCTCTTTGATTACATTGGAGCAGAAGCACTGACTTTTCTGGCTTTCCCCAGCTATGGCCATCTTCAGGCAGAGGTAGCTTCAGAGTTTCATCACATAGTTTGAAATGCATTATTTTTAAAAGTCATTCAAACATCCCTATAAGGTGAGATGGGGTATTTCAATGCTTTTTATGAAAAAATAAAATTTTATATCAAAATAAGAGAATAACAGTTGATACACTGTATCATTATCTTCAAGGCAGCTACTTAGAGTAACTGACCTAAACTGAAAAGATTCCTATGTAAAGAAACATAACACAGAACTTAGTTCATTGAAAATAGTTTTAGTGTGTAAACTAGTATTTCTTTATAAATGAAACAAATTAGCATATATATAGTAAAATATGTTTAAAACAATGAAATATGTAATTTGGGGAATTATTTGAATGCCTTACTTCCTACATCTCTTCTACTTTGCTCTTGTATAGTGTCTGACTTATTTAATATTGTTCTCAAGTTGCATCCGTTTACGTAAGAATCCCTCAAGTTTATCTTTCTTTATGGCTCTATAGTACTCCATTGTGTATAAATACATTTGCCTTAGCTATTCATCTGTTGATGGATATACATACAGATTCAAGATCTAGCTATTATAAATTGTGCTGCTATAAACATGCAGAGAATTGGCCTCTCTGAGCACAGAGAAAGGCCGCACTCAGGGTGACTGCATGTAGCACATTCTAGGGAACACTTAAGACAGCTGAGGCTAAGTTGTTTACCCGAGAACCTACTAAGGATATTGGAAAGCAGATGAATCTTGTGTTACTTTAATTGTTTGTGCCCATGTTCAGTGAATAGAGGTGAGATGAGCCAGGTGTGGGGGGTTCCTCTACTGACTAAGAGGCAACCCCCCACATTCAGCTGACTGTGAGTCTCTCTGTCATTTGTCCTTGTTCACCCTGGGCCAGGAGAACAAAGTAGTGGTCCAGGGCCTGTCATGGACAGGGTTGGCCACAGTTGGTGCCTGGAACAGGGACCCCAGAGCAGGGATCGTCCACATGTGCCTGTAACATGATTTTCAGTCTTCTAAATGGGAAATTTAGAAGGAAGGAAGACAAGAATAGCTTTAAACAACTAGGTTGCAGTGTTATTCACGTTTTAAATTGCTGTGGGCAATACAGAATAAGCAGGGAAGGGCTCAAGCTCCGAGCTGGGGACTCCAGATGAGACATCCCACTACCCTCTCCTGGTCCAGTCACACTTTCTGCACTTCTCCTTTGTTGTGATAAAGTTGTACCCACAGCAGCCGTGTGTTTCCTGGGCAGGTTGCCATGCCTGAGTGTAGTTTCTGGGCCTATCAGAGTGGATCATACCACACAGCCTTTCTCAAGAGCCAGTCAACATGGCCAGATCTGTTCTCTTGTAGCCTGGACGCCCAGAGGCCTGGTTACAGAGAGGAAGCCTGGGGTAGGAGGAAGACTGATGGAGACCAAAAATGCTGCCCTTCATCTGCCCTGTTTCATTGTCTGGCTGCCAGGGTGGAGGAACCCCAAGGCCAAGTAAGGCTGTGAGGAGCTACCCTGCAGGGGATGAGAATTGGACGGACCAGGAAGAGGCGCTTGGCTTCACCTGAGCATCTTCCTTCCATCAGCCGCGGCTTCGGCTGTCTCGAGGGTGGTCAGATGCTTTGGGGCTCATGGGCTTGCATGTGCATCTTTCTGTAAAAAGTGTTTATCATTGACCTTTTGTCCTTTTTGCAGAAACGGCACCAAATGCTTGCTTTTCTTGGTTTTTCCACAGTAGTGGTAGTGGGTGAAGAGGCAGTTTTAATTGCCTCTTCCTGACTTTGCCTGTGTGTATGTGAATGTTTGTACATTTGTCTCTCTAGTATCTCAATGAAATGGGTCCTTCTCCAGAATCTGCACCTGGAGAAGGGACCCTGGAGGTCACCTGCCTTGGCCTCTGCTGGTAGGAAGGAGTTCACTTTTGTAGAGTGAGACTCGGAGTAACAGATATTTCATTAGATTAAAGTGCTTAGCTGTCACAAGGAAAGAGTTGGAATGACTGGTCTGTGCTGCTGAGGAAGGACTTGCATCCTTTTCTGGAAGAATTCTAGAAATGGAAATTTATGTCATTGCACTTGCCTTCCTAGATAGTTTGGGTGGTGATAACTTGGCATTAGAGGCAGGTCTAAGACAGTAGACCCTGGGAGTAGGATTTACACCTGTGAAAATGGGCAAGTTTGCTGGAGCACCCACCTTGCCAAGGCAGTGCAGAACTCTGTGATGTCACCCCCTGGGGTGGAGCAATGAGATGGCCTCATGGGACCCCGTACACAACCCTAATTAAGGAGCATGAGGGTGGGGTACACGGGCACAAGACAGAGCAAGTAGCTCTGTCCTTGGCCTGGATTATGATTTTTTTTTTTTTTTTTTGTACCGGGGATTGAACTCGGGAGCTTGGAAAGCAGTGGGGCAGAGCCACTGAGCTAACTCCCCACCCTGGGTTATGATCTGTTTAAGGACTCGCTCTGCAGTTGTTAAGGTTTTCTTGGTGGGGACAGTGTATGCCACTTTCCTTCCTTGTCTATGATCAGAACAAATTGAAATCTAGGAATTTGGCCAAAAGAGTTAAAATAACAACTTAATGACAAAGCTGATCCTGACCCTGTAGTGTATATCTGTGGGCAAGTTTCTAAAAGTAAACCACACAGTCAGATAGACTCACCCACCTGTCACAGGTAGCACTGGAGATCTGCGGGCCTCTCCTCCCAATAGCCATCACCCCTGCCCTTTGCTTTTCCTTCCTGCCATTTGTAGCATGGGGAAGAAAAGCAGAGAAGAGACTGAGCTGCCCATGTCTAGCTCTTGGGTCCTAAATTACCATCCCAGGGAAAAGTCATGTGTGTTACATGAAAAGGTGTCCCTCCACAAAACTCTAGTTCAGGGAAAAAGAAGTTCCTGGTCTCAACAAGCACCAGTAATCAGCTCAAGATGAACTCTAAGGCAGTACATGCCAGCTTAATAAACTTTAGGTACAAGATATATATTTAGATAGGCAATTATAGGCTGCTCTATGTTTAGTCAGGGAACATTAAACTGGCACAGCTTGTTGGAGATTAAACACACAGTATCAATTGACCTGTTGATACCGCAGGGTTCAGGGTGTGCCTGAACTGGAGAAAAATGAGAAAGGCCTCCCAGTATGACTAATAGGGTTGCTTTGAAGATCTCGGAGGTGTGGGTTGGCATCACCAACCCAGGAGTTGGAACATGGGATTCAATGGTTCAGGCCCAGCTCAACGAGCTCCCAGGCGTAGCTGGGCCAGGATGGTGCAGTGCAGTGGTGCAAGGCTCCAGCAGTATGTGGTTCCCTGTGTCAGGCACGCGAATGAGTCTGCTGTCTGTGGATTGACTACTGGTTAAATAAATCACTGTTTTCTGGCTTCCCTCTGAACAAGAACTGCTTAAGTGTTTTTCTTTTGGCTGCCAAAAAAAAAAAAAAATGCCTTTTCCGACTTGCTTGCTTTTTGTCTCACCAGTTAGGATATGCTGTATCCTTTCCTTTGAGATTTCTGCTGCTTAAGTGAAAATGCTTTAAAATCTCACAGATTCTGAGGAGGGAATTGGGAGAAAGAGTAACACAGGCTTTCCAAAGACTGTGGATATTTCTTTCTTTCTTTCTTTTTTAGACAGTGGATATTTCAAAGGTCATGTTTTTCTTGATTTTGAAACACTATGACTTTTTGCGGTGTATTTTTCTTTCAAAACATATTTTTCTTAGTGAGATGTTACAGTCTGTTGGTTTTCTCAGAGCATCCTTAACTGGGCAGCTGAAAATCGTGCAAAGAGAAAATGAAAAGGTTAAAATTATCTGTAGATGAATACACAAATGATTGAAATTTAAAGAGAATATATTTCCTTTTGATCTATTTGCTGCCTGTTTGTACATTTTAGCGTTATTCATACTTAAATATGAGTAAGTAGTAAATCCAGACCTGTAAATTAGTTATTGGTAAGGCAGATTGGCTAATTAGAGTTTGATTTTATGTTGTGTGTCTGTCCTGTTGTATTATAGAGTTTGATGTGATTACAGGCAGATACCCAGAGGTCCCTGTATTTTCATCTCAGACTCAGTGACTTCTCTGCTCTGTATATCAGCATAAAATGATCTAATGAAGTGCTGAGCATGCAGATAGCACTCCAATACTTCAACAGCTTTGGGAAACACTGATTTTAACATGAGGGTGGTTATAAAATAGTATATGTTAGGTAGGCAAGTTAGTTACTGAGGTCTTTTCATATGCCAGGTGCTATTTTAGGAACTGAAATACAAGAGCTAGGTAGGGAAGAGTGTGTCATGAATTTGTGTCGTGGCATAGCTTGGTACTTCTCACTGTGGTGTCTTCTGTGGATTGAAAACAATGTGAGGGGCAGAGGATCACTGTGCAGCTGTTTGACCAGCGGTGCCTGAGTGGGAGTCCTTTGTACGAACTCGGCTGAGCTCTGCCGAATCCCTTCTGTGGCTGTGGACAGTGGTTAGGAAGTGACCACTCATCCCCGATTTAACTCAGGAGCAAGGTTGAAGTTGAAATCTTCATTGAGCTTCCTAAGACACTAAAGTGATGCAGGCACCCCAGGGTCCTCCCTTTCTGGGAGCCTCTCCTGGGGAATCACTGGCAACCCTTGACTTCTTCAGTGTCTTGCCATTTGCCATTGTACTGGACATTTTGCATTTTTATTTTGGGGAGAGGGACTTGGAAATACAGTTTCTGGCTCATGTTTGCCTGAGCATGTGAACAAGCAGTATCTTGACACGAGGGCCGTGTGACAAGGACAGCACTTGAAATTTGAGTTTAGATGGTCTGTTGGCCATGGCTGGCAGTGAGAATTTTGGTTCACATTTTTTTACACCTCCAATATATCATTTTTATTATCATCTAAAAATTGTTATCTACTTTTTCTAAAAAATTGTGCAACTTTGCAGGAGCTCTTACCAAGATTTCCTCGGTGTTCTAATAGATAGAGCTCCCTGTTTCAAATTTTCGACAAGGCATTGTTTACAAATAAAAACCCTGAATACTAATGATTGTTGGCCCATACTCTTTACTATCCACCATGTGAGCTAAGTAAGGTAAGTCTTGGTTTCGGTACTTGAGTTCTTTCATAAGATCAGGTGGGATTTTCAGCCTATTTCCTATTTTAAAAGGACTAAGAGACCTGCATTTACAAAATTGCTTCAGTAGAAGAAAATCCTCACTGAGTGGTTACTGTAAAACGTTTTATCCCAGCGAGAACAAAATTAGTGGTGTAATATGTTGGCACCTGAAGGAACAAGACCATTTAAAAAATGAATTAATATTTTTACCTATTTGTTCCCAAGCCTTTGCTTCCATAGCCCCTCACACGAGAACGAAATAACCAAGCTCTTAATATTCTTTTCAGGGACACCTGTGTGGTTCTTTGTGAAAATTGCTCCGATTCGAAATGAACAGGATAAAGTGGTTTTATTTCTCTGCACTTTCAGTGACATAACTGCTTTCAAACAGCCAATTGAGGATGATTCATGTAAAGGTTTGTGATTCTGATTTGTATAATGCATTTCTACTTCTTTTTCTGCCTTGAGTGTCATTTTGCTTCAGAGATGTTGAGGTTGCCAAGCCCATCTTTGCACAGAGATCAAGATTTAAATTTTAATTTGGGGTGGGTAAAGTACTGCAGCATTCTGGAAAGTATTGCGGTAAGAGAGAGAGAGAAGCTTTGTTTCGCAAAGCATTTAGTCCTACTTTTTTTTTTTTTGGTACTGGGGACTGAACTCAGGACCTTTTGCTTGTGAGGCAGCGGAACCACTGAGCTAAATCCCCAGCCCTAGTCATACATTTTTAAATTCACCTTTTCTTATTATTGTTAGACAAAAGCAGCTGGACAAATCTGATATCATCTCAGTCTTTTCAGATTTTCACATGACAAATGTTACCCAAGTGAGACAGTACATATTCGTCAGGTTTCTGTACAAACTTCCTTCAGTTTGACTGAGTTCCAGCATTTCGGGATTGTTAGAGCAGACATCAGTACATTAGTACATCTGTACCTCTGTGGTTTATTGAATTAATTTTGTGGTTAGTTAATTCATTTCAGCATGTGGCTTTATGGTGAGGCTCGGGCCCTGAGTAACCTCTCCAAAAGGGTCCTTTAGTCAGCTTTGTGACCCCAGATGTTAGTCACATTATCCTTGTGTATTGTTAGAGTAGCACTGGAGACCTCAGAAAAGAGAGTGCAGGGTTCCTGGAACAGCTTTACCCCTGGAGAGGTCCAGCCCAGGCTCTGCGCGAAAGTTGGTGGGCTCTGTCCGAGTTTGGAGGTGAGGATCGGAGCACCTCTGCTTCAGCCCTGTCCACGGCTTGCCCTCAGGAGTGCCGACAGCTGTCCTGTACTGTAGGCCTCCCTGGCTCTGAGGCTGAATTCCCAGCTCTACCCAAGAAATCTGTTCCTGTGGCTTCCTGAGATGCAGCAGAGGGATGAGTGTAGAGCCCAGTCATGTGTTTTTCTGGATGTGACAAAAGCTTGGTTACTAAGTGGGTGTGACAGGAGGGAATCAAATCTTTGTGTGGATGCCATTTTCAGGGTCTGTGTCCTCAGAGTGTGAGACTCGGCCGTATGTGGATACACATGACGAGGTTCAGAGCAGGGTGTTTTGTGTACCAGTGGACCATTTCAAAAAAATAAGTCAAGTCAACTTGAGCCCACTGTTTGGTCTCAGGACTGTAGCAGATGCAGTCTCTCTGCCCACCCGTGTCTCCTGAACTCTTCCTCTTGTACATCTGGGACTGCACAGTCCTCAGTGGAGCAGGTATTGTGTGGCACAGACTTACTGTCATCACGTACTGTGTAGAAAGCCTGTTTGCACTGTTAACCTAATTCATAAATAACATTTTGAAGATATTTTGACACTTATTTTTGCAAATCTTGGTTTAAAAATTTTAAATCGGGGATTTGGCCCATTCAGAAGGCTTGCTTTTCATTATTGCTGGAGCATTTTGAACTAATATGTTGGTAGGAAAGCCTTATCTTTACAGAGAATGATCCTCACTGCCGTGTGTCTGTTTGATGCTCATGGAACCTGAGAAGAGATAAATCAGAGTGATACAGCAAAATTGACCCAAGTTTATTTTCCGGATGTAATGTGCTCCACTTCATTGAACCACCCAGCCATGCATTTGTACAGATGAGATGATGAGAATTTCGGTACAGATGTATCACACGCAACCACCCGCCGTAGTCCCTGTTAGCCACGGCATTCTTTTGTCAGGGAAATGACCTGAAGCCAGGCACGGTGGTGCACACCTCCTGGGGCTCGGAGGCGGAGAGAGGAGGATCGCCCCAAGTTCAAGGCCATCCTGGGCTGCAGAGCGAGTTCAAGGCCAGTGGGACTGCATAGCAAGGCATCGTCTCAAACTAAAAAAAGGAAAGAAATGAAAAGCACGAGTAACATGTGACTTCATTTGTAAAACATTTAGAAAGCCCCCCCCCGCCGTGGATCACCCTTAATCCCAGCTGTGTCCAGACCTCACTTGTCATGTCACCATGCCCCTGGCCCACTCCTGTTTGGCGACCTGCTTAGGCAAAGTCGGGTTTTATGATTGTCTGTGATGGAAGAGCCTGATAATTCGCTGGGCCTTGTTAGCTCTGAGTCTATAAACTTCAGTTTAGGCTACAAGCGTGAAATCCACATGGAAAATATGCTGCCGTGAGGCGGGATGGTTCTGGCTCGCTGTTTCTTCTTGCATGTGCTCTTACTGGTTCATTTCTAGCCGACCTGGCTGGTTTTTCCGCACAGCACCAGAGTTGAGTCTTGCTGACCCAGGCTCGTTCAGGATTCACTTTGGATAGGAAGTGGGAGGGCGGGTCATAATCTAAAACCCCAGACCATTCCCAAATGATCACTTTTGGGCATGGTCACAAGAGATGCTTTTCCTCCATGAGATTAGTCTTTGAAGTCAGTTATACTTTAAGGTTACTTTGTTTTTTCTCTTCTTGCCTCAATTGGGGGCAGGGCAGGGTGGGTGCTTCTTGATAGTTCCCAGGTTTAGTCAAACATTTCCCCAAAATCATCTGTAAAGGGGTAAATCATGGGGCAGTTGCGTGGAGAGTGTTCTAGCGCAGACAGGAAGTCAGATGCTCTCACACAGCGCCTCAGGTGCTGGGACTGTGCCCGGAGCCCCTGCTCTTCCGTAGGCCCGTCAGATTTTCTAAGAGCTCCTTGGCCTGACTTCATCTTCACTTTGCTGCTTTTATATACAGAGAGAGAGAGAGAGAGAGAGAGAGAGACACAAACTCCTTCCCTTACTCTCTAGTGGCGTACATGGCTGGCAGAGACAGGAGGGCAGTCTAGGCTTGTTGTGTGACAGCAGGGGACTTCATGGCTGAAACGAGACTGTCGTGCTCCAGGAGTTCCATTCACGCCTCATGTCCTGCTGCTTTTTTAGTGTGGATTATTGGGAGTGGGCTGCAGGAAAGTTTTCTCTAACGAGCTGAGAGGCTTGGGCAGTTGGGTAGAGGAGAAGTGGAGTGTAAGGCTCTGAGCTTTCCTTCTACATTGCTCACCAGAGAATGAGTCACCCCTCTTGTCTGGCTCTCATCTCACTACATGATCTCCTATTAAAGGAACAGATTCGTTTTCAAAGATCTGTGTGTTTACTTCTACATTTGGAACTTGAACTTGAGCTAAATGAAGATAACAAAAGGAATGGAGAACTCCAGGGGGCATTTTGAAGGGCCAAAGATCTAGAATACTCAAGGATGAGGGCCCTGGAAAGCGTTTATGGTTGTCAGTCCCTCTCCAACCTTCTTGTGGTGTATCTATGAGGCAGTCTTGGGAAAGACACAGAATAGCAGACACAAGTCACAGCCTCCCCCGCTCCAGTACTAGCGTTTTATCTCCTTTAGGGTGATGGGAAGGTAGTGAGTTAGTGTCTGCTATTTGGAAAGCTGTCTTCCTGTTTGTGCATGTTGGTAGGGCCGAGATGGTGGAGAGACCCGAGGATGCTTGGGCCATGGCTCATGCTGACCACCCCTCTGCTCCTGTGTGTCCACTGTTCTTTGATGGATTTTGGTTAGGACGTCAGTTCCGCAGTGCAGTCTGTGACATAGTATCTGAGGACCGGTCTGGCCTTCGTCTTTCCTGGTATCCTCAGAGGAGGTGGAATTCTTTCTCATCCCAGAAAAATCTCTTCTATCCTAGAGAGGACACAAAGAGGCCTAGTGGGTTGGGTCATCCAGGTTGAAACCCAGCAGCCACTGTGGAGGGATGGTAAAGGGGAGGAGTGTGCTTCCTGAGGATGGGAGAAAGGACTCTAGCTGGTCGTCAGGTTGCACGCTATGCTCCTTCTGTCTTTTCCTTTCTTCCTTGTCCATTCCTGCTCACCCTCTTTTTTTCCCCAGTCATGTGATGCTTTCCACCTCCCTGTGGTGGCACCCACAGTCTTCCTGTGACCAACTTCATAACACCTGATGCCTGGAAGAACCCTGGCCTAGGACTTTTTTCACCTGAGCTCAGTTCAGTGTTGAATTCAGGGATGGGGTATAATTGGAGGAGTGGGTTCAGAAATGCCCGCAAAGAGGGAGTCACAGAAGTACTTCTTAAAAGTTAAAAGAACTGGTGAAATGGGTTGCCTATCCTTTGGCTTTATCTTTTGGAGGCCCACACAAAACTAGGGCAATGAGAGGGGAAATACTGTTCTACATTTACTCAATACATGCTTTTGAGTATCTTGGGTGTCTGGCCTTAGGCTAGGCAGTGGTCTTAAGGAAATGCTGTCCATTGGACACTGCTTGAGAGATGGGCAGGCAGGTAGACAAGTACAACAAAGATAACAGTGATCTAATAGAAGTCTGTCTGAGGCACCTGGGGGCTCCTGGGAGGGACTGGGCAGTTCTGCTGTGGGCAGGAAAGTATCTGGGAAAGGCTTTCTTGGAGGAGGGGGATTTGTCAGCTGCCTTATTTTCCTGTGTAACTTGACTGTCTGGCTTTCTTTCGGTGAGATCACCTGAGCAGGGTTCTCACTGGGCCGTCACCTCCCAACTGGACAATAAGAGACTCACTTTTTGTAGCAGTGGTTTCCCTATGGCTCTGCTAAGAGGGCTCTCTTGGTCTGACTTGGATATATTTTGTCCTCTTGTGTTTTTAGTGTCATTGAGTGACTGTCACCCCAATCACCTAAACCAGAAATTCAGGGTTGCCTCTTCTCTTCTACAGCTAATGTTTACCGAGTTCTACTGATGTTGCCTCTGTTGCTGCCATTGTGTGCCCTCGTGCCCTCGTGCCCTCATCCGCTGACCCAGGCCTGCATGGTCTCTTGTTTGGAGTGCTCACTCCTTTATGTCAGATTCTTTTTTTTTTTCAGCCTTTTATCCATTTTGGCTCTGTCCTGCTGGAATGCAATTCAGTGATTGTAACCTTCTCTCCTGCATACTTAAATTCCTTCAGCGGTTCCCCGTGGGCTTTGGGATGAAGTTCAGATTTCTGAACTTACTTCTGGGTTCTTGCTGCCTGTGTTCTTCCTGACGTCCTCTTTAGTGTCACTTCACCCCACTCTGTGACCTCCTGTCTCCTGTAAGCCATGGCCTTCCATCCAGCGCTTGGAGTGTCCTGCTCTTCACTGGCGTATTACCCTGTTGTTGTCATTATTTTGCCTTTGTAGGTGCTGTCCATCTGTGTGGACCCCACCTGGCTCCTACTCATCTTTCAGAGTTTTGCTCTCATGTCTCCTCTCCCCAAATCCTTGCCTGGCTGCTCAGCCTGGATGGGAGCCTTCCCTCACACTCTTGGCCATAGTGTTCTGCCATAGTCTCTGCCATTGAACGTTGTCAGTCTTCCCTACTAGAGTGTAGGCTCTCTGAGGCCAGAGCCTGTGTCTTCTTCATTTTTGTAACCCCAGTTGCCTAGCTCTGTGCCTGGTACGTAGTAGTTCTATTTTTAGAATCAATGCATGAATGAAGAAATCTGTTCTTTCGTGTGGCTCGGCCTCTGTCCATAGTCAAGCAAGAACGAGATGGCTTGGGAACTGGGGAGAGAATTTTCTTCTGCCCATCCCAAGTACAGCGTGATGGGGAAATTTCACACTGCCTGCCTGTTTCCCATCCAGCATGCGTGTATGTTTCCATGTTCTCTACTCAGCTGAGAGCCAGCTCCTTTGAGAGAGGTAGTCTTAGAAAACTGGGTGTAAGCCAGAGAGCAAGGCCAGGCTGAGCCCAGAGAAATGCTCAGTGGTCCAGAAACCCCCAAGCTCCCTGTCTAGGTGTGCACCTTGCCTTCTCCCTCTCACCAGTGTTTCCATAATGGAGGTTGCCGTGGTAGCGATGGTGCTGCGCTGGGGCTTACTGATGTTTGCAGGTACAGCTGTTTTCTACCTGAATAGAAATACAGTTTTTGTTCCTCTTGAAAACCTTGGCTGAATTCAGTTCCAGCTTTGTTTTGAGTTGAAGGAAAGCCTGACTCTGAAAGTGATTAAAAACTAAGCCTAGTCCATGGTTCTTACAAACACGGCTCAGAGAGTGCTCACACGTGGGGAGATGTCGAAGGCCCTGTGGAATCTGGGCTGCCCCTTCCCCGCCTGTTCACGTTAACAGGGCTTCCACAGCCATGTGCTGCAAACACCTTCCAAGGTGCCCCATGGTCCTCTGTCACTGCTGCATGGCGCGAGGGGAGATGCAGGTGCCACTAGCTTTTAAACGAGGGCAGCCTTTCTGGAATGGGGTTTGTTAAAAAGCTGACTTGGTGATCTTGTTGTGTTGGCCAAACTTTATCTAGATCATGATTTATAAAGGTTGCACCAAAAGAGGCCATTCTGTCCTTTGAATTCAAAGGCTAAAATTTAGAAGATGAGATTTCTGCTGCAAGGCACTGAATATTGGAAACTCCACAGGATAAAACATAAAATCGCTGTCATGTAACAATAGTTTCATGCTCTGTTTATTTGCTGTCCACCTCCCATCCAGGTGTTTGGAACTCCTGAAACCTAAGCCTGGCCTTGAGAAGCCTGATAGCCTTTCTGGGTCTCATGGGCCAGTGGCCATGGTCCTGACTTTCTCACACATGGGGCCTGGCTATTGGCATGGATAGTTGTCTATGGGGGCCATTGAGAGCACTACAGATAGCTTAGACTTCTTAGAATTTTAACAAAGACCTGTTAGCAGCCATCCTTCCCCTTCTCCAAGCAGACCATAATCAGCCAGTGCTTTTTCCTCATCTACCCAGGATCTGAATTAACTTTCTTGGGTCTATTTAAACCCAAACCAGCTCTTTCTGAAAGGTCAAACACCTTGAGCACTGGAAACAGTCTGAGGCAAGTCAGCAAATCAGAGAAACCTCTCAGTTACCTGGTGTGAGTCTCTAGAAAAGCCTTGGTCCAGAGTGGAGCCATCAGAACTGTAGACTCTTTCTCATTATCTAGGTGCTCTGAGCTTCCCTGTTTGGAAAAAGGCACTAAAACTCGCCCTACCTCCTTCCTAGAGCTATGATTAGGAGGAAGTGCGAGAGGGTGGGAAAAGTAAATTGCTGCACAAGTTCGGGTGGGTAAAGGTGTTCTTCCGGGCAGCAAGTCTCACTGGCAGTGTTTGCGGGTGACTTAGGAGGCCTCTTGGGAGCAGGGTGTCCTCCTCCTGACTGTAGGAGTGTTGAGGTGACTGTCCCTGCTGCTTTGCGATGTGGCTCACCCTGTCTTTTGCTCTCACATGCTTCAGGCTGGGGAAAGTTTGCGCGGCTGACCAGAGCACTGACGAGCAGCAGGGGCGTGTTGCAGCAGTTGGCTCCCAGTGTACAGAAGGGCGAGAACGTCCACAAGCACTCCCGCCTGGCAGAGGTAAGACAGCAGTGCACGGGAAAGCAGATGGCAATGCTGGCTTGGAAGGGGCCAGTAGGACCCCTGGACCCCTATCTCGGTTGGGCTGCACGATGTGTAACTTGGGGTGACATTTTTTGAGCTTATACTTTCACATATATAAAAGAGACATATATAATAGAGAAAGCTCTATTCCAGCTTGCACTAGATTATAGGTGTCCGTTAACTTTAAGGGAATAGAAGGGTGCTAGAAGTTCTTCCTCTATTGTACACGAAGGAGTTTTTACTTCTAAACCATAAACATTTTTGTTGTTTGAGCAGTAAATACTATTACAGGAAAATAAGATACAGGAATTGAGAAGAAAATAAAAGTTTCCTGTAATCCCACTGATCACGCAGCCTTGTTATATTTATTGTGTGCTTTTAACTTTTTGTTGCATTTTTTCCCCAAATACTATTTTTTACATGTTAATGTTGGTTGTGGAGATGCACTGAAGAATGAATGTGCCCAATGAATGAGATTGAGTTTGCTCCTTTTATATAATTGTCAACCTCTTTCCAGATTAATAAATATGCTTAGAATTATTGATGTTTTTATAACTTTTGTAGTTAGGAAAAATTAATGTGGCGGTGGTACTGTCCCCTTGCTAGGGCAAACAAGGAGGTGTTTTATCAAGCTTACTGCACATAGGTCACTATAAGCTGGCACTGGAGGTGCCTGGTCGCGTTTTTCCCAGTGGTACCTGGGAGGGCTCAGCTGGGGCCACTAAACCCTCCACACAGCAAACTGCTATCTTCTCTGAATGTGACGACGTGAGCTGTCTCTGCCCTCAGTCCATGGTTGGCAGGTGGGACCCTTTCTGGCATGACTTCTTGCGCCCACTGCACTGAGTGAGAATTCTCTGGCTTGAAACGGCAACAGTGGGTGCTCCGTGCACTTGCAGTGACTATTAGGTGAATTAAGTGTACGAGTCCAAGCAGCAGCAGTAGCCACTGCCAGGAGCTTCCCCTGCAGTGGGATGAGGAGCGTTCATTTGTACCATGTTAGAGAAGGGAGATGTTTGGATGATGGCAACATCATAATCGTTTCTTGTCATGACGTGGGCTTGGCTACAGATAGAAAGAATCCTAAAAGGAACCTTTCCAGTGCAAGCCTTTGCGTTCCCTGCTCCTACTGGTGGTTAACAGAGTAACCTTGCCTGCTTCTCTGCTTCTCTCATCCAGCTGCAGTGGCCGCCTTGCTGCCCTCTGTATGTCTGTAGTAAGCTTGTTCTTCCACGACACAGCTGTGTGACAACTCCTTCGAGCCTTTCCTCAGTGTCATTTTCTCTACGTATGTAACTACCTGTGGCAGTCGGGATTCTGCAGAGAGGAATAGCTAGGATGTTTATATAGGAAGAGATTTATTGCAAGGCTTACGTGATTGGGGTTGGCTCCCTAAGTCTAAAATTCATAGAGCAGGTTGGCAGACTGGAAACTCTTGGGAAATGCCGATGCTGAAATCCGTTGGTGAATTTCTTTTTCTTCTGCAAAACCTCAGTTCTGCTTTTGCAGCCCTTCATCTGATTGGATGAAGTCCACTGAGAGTATAGAGGATATTTTTGTTTCCCCAAAGGTCAACCGATTTTGGATGTTCATCACATCTGAAAAATATGTGTGTGAACATTTACATTAGTGTTTGCTTGATAACTCAGTACCATGGCCCAGCCAAGTTAAAAGCTACTATAGTTCATTCTTTGCTGACTTGGTACCCATATGCATTTCCTAAAGCTGCAATCTTCAGTTAAGAACAATGAAGTAATGCTTGTGCCTTGATACAGGTGTCTTACGTACGACAGAAAATGTGGCAGCCCTTTCCCTGGAAGAGAATGCAAAGTCCTCTGTGTCACCCCTCTCCTCCAAGACCTATAATGTAAACCCCGTGGTATAGATGGACTGTTATCCATGCATCTTAAGTCATGTGCTAAGGGGATCAAAAAGGGAAGCAAGTCATGATACAGCAAATCGAGGGAAAAATACAACTCCCAGTCCTCTTCTTACTCTGTCCTGTTTTTTCAACTTAATGTCATCAAATGTACTATACAGATTACTTATTTATTCTATTTGTTGTTCACTGATAAAATCCCAAAACATTCAGAACAATGTCTGGCATATAGTGAGTACTCTCAATAGTGTTTGTTTTATTTTATTTTTAATTGATTGAAAGGAAAATTATATATATATA